TCTCTCTCTCTCTCTCTCTCTCTCTCTCTCTCTCTCTCTCTCTCTCACTCTGTTGTTTTTGTTTGGGTGGCTGTTTCTCTGTCAGTGTAAGTGGATTATTCAGGGAGGCATCTAGTAAAGTTGGTGATTGTATTAAACTGCAGCCCTACAAGCAAGGGGGCAGAGACATTACGTGTTCCGTATAATGGCGAAACAGCATATGATTTAATAACATATTCCTCCTACACTCACTGCCATGGCCTCTCTCTCTCTCTCTCCCTCCCTCCCTCTCTCCCTCTCTCCTTGGGACTATTCCTCAGAGTAAATAATTCGGATTCCAGCTTGTCTACTAGAAAGATAAATGGCTGACATGTGTGACGTGCTGAGAGCTGGAGAAGAGCTGGACTGTCTGTCTACTCACAAAAAACAGAATAATAGTATATATATATATATATGTATATGTATATGTATATATGAATTATATAGGCTATGTTTATATTGGTATATAGCTACATTTTACCCAAAACATTCACATCTGAAAGAGGAAGTATTTATGTGTTTTTAGGGAACTCTCTTGCTCTTTATTTCTCTTTGTTGATACACTATTATTTAGGCCTCGTGCGCTGCTGGTGTTTACAGAAATAATTGTACTGAATAAACTGTAGACGAACCACGAACATAGCGTAGCCATAACCTACTACTGGAAATAATTTCACTTTTATTTTTAGCATTTGTTTGTAGCTTTTTGCAGCGTAGGCCTTATTTAACGGTGCCACTTATTTTCGCACGCGCTTTAATTATGCATTTTAGTTTGATGTTTTATATATATATATATATATATATATTCTCCAGCAATGAAACCCGGAAGTGGCTTTACTTGATTTTAATATTGTTAAATAGACTTGGTGGCTTCCAATAGGCCCACCTGTGTGCTGGGGAATGAATTATTGCTAACATTTACAGTTGACGGGCCTCAGGAGTTAGCTTCAGTGCTAGCATGCCGAACCGCTGCGTTAGTGTCAGATGGCGGAGCCGCTTCCCCTCCAGCTTCTCCCCGTTCAACATTTTATCTCTACCGATGAGCAATGAGTGCCAGGTGCTCCCTCGCGCCTGACAAGCCGGCCCTCTCGTGGCACACAGGCCCACCGTTAGCGGTGAGGGTGAGATGGGGAGTCTGTGGGGGCTCACACTGCTGTTGGTTCTTTTTTCTCCCTTCCGCTCCTTTTCCCTGGGCCGTGATAGAGCACTCGACCCTAATGAATCACGGACTCGTGAAGCTTCTTCCCGAGGTTCGGTCTTTTTTATTTTCTATCCATCTTGATGGCCTATTTTGTTCTGAAGTTAAAAATGTCTTTATTTTGACATTCCTCTTTTTAAACGTAGCCCATAGGCACCGTATTAACCAAATAGAATAGTCTGGAAATCATTATTTCCTTTAACCAAAAAAAGAAGAAGAATGTTTTGAGAAATATTCCCGCGATCCCCTTCTTCAGCATCTTCAAATTGCCAATTGGGAGCACCGTTAATACGTTTTTACTTTTTACTCTGTTTAGAAAATCCCCCCAAAAAACATCGTAATAACTTGCAATAATACGTTATTTTTCCTCGGACCTGTTAAAAGAAAATCTCCCGTGATGGCAGCAGCGTTTTTATTCAGCAGCAAACGATCGCTTCCGGAGATAGACTCCTATGAGTGAGGTAACAGCCGAGCAGGCGGAACACACTAAATCATACGTGGAAGGCAGAGGCTGACAGAAATAGGCTCCCTACATCAGTCACACCGGGAGAACAGACACACACGGGCCGCATCCACTGCCGCCATCACGCGACCAAATGTACCGCTTGAATAACAGCAGACATGGCGGGCTCGTGCTTTATTATGAACCATACAAAATTAAATATTCAGAAAAACAATTCTGAATGAAGGATAGAAACATAATGACATGTTCATGTTTAAAACAATAATGAAAATACTTTTTTTCTGTCATTTTATTCCCAAATTCAAAGGTAAAGCATTTTCATCATTCTTAGATTAATTGCTGAAAAATAGAGAATATCAATAATTACAACAACTAATTTTATGACCACATCCACTCTAAATAATACGGGTTAATTGGCTGTTATGTAAATAATTATAAAAATATCAATAATGATAATAATAATAATGATAATAATAATAACTTGTAATAACGAAAATGTGAATTTCTGTGGAAATCCAACATTGGCTAATGAGTGTATGTGTGTGTGTTTGCCCTCCTGATGCCTCCTCCACTAGAGCATCTGCAGGCTGTTCACTGGGCTCAGAGGGGAGGGGGAGGGTTGGGGGGGGGTGAGGAAAGAAAAGCAGTGGTTTCTATTCATGTCATGGCGCCTTTCATGGGAGGAAGATGGATTTATCTCTCTCATTTCTCCGTTCTGCCTCTCCTAACCTTTCAGGTCAGATTGCAGGAGGTCGCTGGAGAGACACCGTCACGTGACCCCCGGTGCCAAATGGTCTTCCGGCAGCAGCTCTCAGCAAGGACCGGAGCACACGAAGACGCCGCCACCTCTCTCAGAAATGCAGAAGACAACCTACTACGACAACTCCTCTGCGCTCTTCGGTGGCTACTCGTCCTACCAGGTGCAGGGGGCGGCGGTGGCGGCGGCAGCGGCGGCTGCCAACGGCTTCGGGGGCTACGATGCACCGGTCCCAGTGTCCCACCACCAGCCGGCCTTCCAGTCAGCGGCCCACCTGGACGTGGATTCGTACCAGCGCTCGGCCTGCTCGCTACAGTCACTGGGCAGTAACGGCGGCCACCAGCAGCAGCAGCTAGCCAAGACCAAGGAGCTGAACGGCAGCTGCATGCGGCCCAGCCTGCCCTCCGAGCACCACCCGGGCTCCCAGGTGTCCCCTCCACTGCCCCCCAACCCCAGCAACGGCAATAACGGGGCCCAGCAGCCAGGCGGCGCCGCTGGGGCCTCCTCCATCTCCAAATCGGGCCCCAATAAGTCGTCCAACTCTTCCTCCTCCATATCGTCCTCCACGTCGTCCTCCTCCTCCTCGCTGCCCCCCAACCCCTCTGTGGCCAAGCAGATCTTCCCCTGGATGAAAGAGTGTCGACAGGCGACCAAGCAGAAAAACTGTTCGCCCAGCAACAACTCTGGCAATGGTGTGTTCCACTACACCTGTCTCTGTCTCTCTGTCTGTGTCTGCTTTGATGCCCCTCCCCTCCCCACAGCCCCACACAAACAACATGTCCTCTTACACCAGTCTCTCCTTCCTCATTTTTTTCTTTCCTCAGTCCCTTTTGTCCTCCTTCTATTTCTTCCTCCCTTTATTTTCCTTCCTCATTAGCTCCTTTTTCTCTTCCTATTATCGTCCCATCACCACGTCCCTCTTTCCTCACCTCTCTTATCAACATCCCCTTTCAAGCTCCGGATCCCCGGAGGATTTAAAAGGTTTCTCAGACTATCACTGCAAAACAGGTTTCCATAGGCTGTGGTTCAGACTACTGGTCAAGCTGGTAATCTGTAGTCTGCTCTGGTCCAAGGTCATTTTAGGTGTCTCATAATGTTTTAAAATGATCGGCTGGTGAGCTGGATTCACCAAAGCATTCCTACATCTCACTGAGAAAGCAAGGCAGTTGAAAGGTCCAGTCTGACTTCATCAGCAGGGTAACTTTAAAAAAACAACAACTAAAAAGGCAAGCAGTGAAGAGGTCAAAGGTCAGAGGCATGGCAGACTGACAAATATTCCAGCGAAACCTAGAGATAAACATGTTAAAAGCAGGAAGAACATTTATATTTGTAATGGCTAGTTTTTTTAAGAAAAGGATGTAGTTATTTATATGATGTGTGCAAATGAAATATAGATGCTTGGATTCAACAAATGAAGATCTAAACAAATGCTACGCCTCTTTTTTTAGAGTGAGATAAGTATTATGGCAAGTGCAGTGTCAGGAGGTTATTAGCTTAGCTTAGCATAAAAAAAGATAGAGCTTGAAATAATGCACCGAACACCTCTCAAGCTAACTAATACCAACTAATGACCAACCAATTGCATCTTTTTTTTGTTTAATCAGAACACAATGTAAAAGCAAGTATGTGTGGTTTTAGAGGGAGTCACATGCTGGCTCTGTTTCTTTCTGCCAATCAACAGCCAGATGCAGCGACTTCCTGGAGGTAAAGGCATGAACCGCCCTATGCTCACTCTGATTGGCTAGAACTTGGTGCCTTTGTGGGTTGGATTAGTTAGGTTTAAATGGAGCAGCGAGGTTAGTCAGGGTTATGGTAAAGGCTTCTGAGCGGATGGATTCATCTAGAAACAGTTCTAAGGGTTACCCTAACCAAACAGCAGAAAGGTGGAACAGAGAGCGATTTAGTGTTCAGTAAAAGGACCTGAAATGAAGTTGGACTTGATAGAGAAACAATCACGGACTATAACACACGACTACAGTAACAGTAGTCACTGTTAGGATAGTGCGGCTAACCAGCTGGCACAAAGCTGCAGCCGATAGCCTGTACACCTCCCTTCATTCATTGACTTCCTCCAAACCTCTCCCCTCTCTGCTAATTGCTTGCTCTCCTTCCTCCCCTCTTCGGCCTCCTCTCTCTCTCCTCCTCCTCCTCCTCCTCCTCCTCCTCCTCCTCACCTTCTTGGAAAGCCACAGCAAGAAAGGAAGATATTAAAACGGGTGAATTTAAATGTTACGTACGATAACAGATGAATAGATCTTCAGACATGCAGACGTTTGAAATGGAAGATATTAGGGAATGTGGGGAGGTGATGAATTTGAATATCATCTGCATGTCTGATAACAGGCGAAGGAAACGGTGATTGAGACAGACACATTGGTAGTTATCAATGAGGAAGAGTATGCTCCGCCATAATTAATATGAGTCTGGTATTCAGAAGGCATTCAGCTGACTGGGCCGAGGGTTGGGGAGAGATTACACTGCTTATTGATGAGGATTTGAAACCATCGTTTTTTGAGAATGTCACCATCTCCGCGAGATGGATGATGTGATGGTTACCTCTCTCATCGCTCTGTCTCTGTGAGAGTCAACTGTTTACACTGTTCAGAGAGAGAGAGATAGGATCTCAGTGCGTGGTATCAGTGGTATGAACACATCGCAGGCGTGCCCGTACATAACAATATATTCATAACAGAGACGAGAGAGATGGAAGAGGCACTGGAGTTCAGCTCCTCTGTCTACTGTGGAATAAACAGCAGCCCAGAGGCAGCTAAGGATCAGCTGTTACTGTTGGAGTCTATGTTAGTGGCCATATGCTTCAGCAGCATACCGACCCTCGTTTCAGTCCTTATGACACATGGAACCTTCACAGTTTCTGGGTTTAGATTATGTAGTGACTTTTTGACATTCATGCTCATGGCACATGGTTAAAAACAAAAAAGTATGTTCACACCATACATGAATACTCTGGAAAGATTTAAGAAAACAATATATCTTTTGTTTTTATAGCTCTAGCATGAAAAGGCATATAAAGGCCATTGTAGGTATAAAAAAAATCAAATTAATTAAAATAAAAAGTACGAAGGCAGGGGAGGGGGAGGGGGTAATATTCAGAGAGAAAAAAACAAATATTACATGAAAAAAACCTCTAATCTCTCAAATTAAAGGGGTTCATTTACGAGAAAAACACTTGAATATTCTCTGAGATTAAAGTCACAAATTTGCAACTTACCCCCCCTTGGTTCCACATTGTTTCACTCTAAAGGTTGGGTCAACCTCATCACACCACACGTCCTAAATTTGCAACTTTAATCTCTTTAATATTTTTTACTTCATAATCTCATGGAATATTTTAGGTCGTTATAAACTCGCTGGTTATTAAACATCAAAAGCAAACTAAATCAACGTCCTACCTCAACTTTGACCTTTTGTAGTCATGTGTACAAGGCACACCTAGCTACAGCTAATACATCACAACCTCATGGAGGCTTTAATGTTCGGCTTATGTTTTAGAGAACTTAGTTTGTGGTGCTGAAAGAGGTTTCTTGCTCTACCCTCATTGGTATAAATGGGTTGGAGATCATATTAGAAACACCCTCAGTATGATGCAACAACATCACACTGAACATTATAACATTCATGACCTTCTGCTGCATTATAATTCCATTAGGTGTACCAAATAAACTGGCAATTTAGTTTAGATAATCTGGTTTATCTGTCACGTTAAGTTGTCAGTTGTTTGTTCACCCGTTTGACATCTTCTATTTACTGATAGTATCTTTGTTGATGATGATATCGTCAGTACGTGTGAAGGCCAGAGGGTTCAGCACTGCTGAGCAACGGCAGTGATTCAGAAAATAAACATTTATGATACAGGCTACCTAAATTCTGAATTTTAAAACTCATTTTGGAATTGATGTTACAAAATCAACCTTATTTGTTAACGCTTCATTGTAAGGTCCTTATGATAACTGTGGTTTAATAGGCAATAAGGCCCTTATGAGTCCTTTTAAAATGCTTATTAACATTAATAAGTGTTAATAAGACTGTATAAGTGTTAATAGTCGCATCATACAAACGTTTATTGTTAGAATATAAGACATGTATGATCACTTATGAGAAACTTGTCCACAGTTTAGACTATTTAAGAATGGTAAGAAAAGGCTTTCTTATATTTGCTCATAATAACTTTCCAAACAAATGAATGATGTCATTGTTAAAGCTTTGCAAAGCTTCTTTTATAGTTTGATTAACATCAACGCATATTTTATTATGCATTAATTAGCAGTTAACTGCTTTTTGTAGCTCTTGGATCAAACAATGCCTTAATAAGGACAATACAACATAATAATGCACTTATTAATAACTATAAACATATAAACACATACAATAAATGTGTGATGATGGTATTATTAACACTTGTTATAGTCTTGATAACACATACTGTTTATAAGCATCTTTTAAGGACTTATAAGGGCCTTATTACCCATTAAGTAACGCTTGTTGACCTTAATATAATACGTTAGCAATTATTCCTGCTCCCTCACTGTGAGAGTAAACAGGCGTGTGTGACGGGGCTTTGAAGTCCTCTTATCCTCTCAACATCCATGCTTGTTTTTATCAAAACTTGACTTTGACTGATAAAGCAGCAGCTTCTATATATTAAGGTATATCAGACTACTTGAGCCCTTTTTGTGTCAGATAACCAGCTATCGTCTAGAATACCTTTCTTTATGAGTTAGTGTAACTATCACATCGAAGCTTGACGTTTTCTCGGTGAGCTGTCTGAGGAGAGCGCGGTCAGCTTCGCTCGCTGGTGCTGCAGCTGCTGTTGCTGCCGGGGGTTTGTCTTTCCAGCCAAGATGCAATTTGGCTGCCCTCGGCCAGCGCCGGAGCCCTCCGTCTCTTAATAACTGCCACTGTTATGAAGTGTTGACAACTAATATCGGGGGATAATTCAGCCAGCACGCCCGGACCCCCCTCTGCTTTATTAAGAACCTGAATGCTTTCAATTTCCTCCAGCATGCAGCCTGAGTGTGTTTTATTCTCTCTTCCTCTCTCCATTCAGTCCATCATAATTTACCTGCTTCTTACTGACTCCCTTTTTACAATATTTTGTGTAAGTTTCTCCCATTTTCATTCTCTTTATTTTTTAGGGTTTTTTGTGCCCCTGTTTTCTTTTGTTTGGTGACACTTTTTCTCTGCATCCTATCCCTGCCATCATCCATTCCTCTGTGTAATCTCCTCTCTTCTACCCTCCAGCATCAGGAGGAGCTGAGAGCGGCAGCAGCGGGGAGAAGAGTCCCACCGGCGGCTCGTCGGCGTCGTCCAAGCGGGCTCGCACGGCGTACACCAGCGCCCAGCTGGTCGAGCTGGAGAAGGAGTTCCACTTCAATAGGTACCTGTGCCGGCCACGCCGCGTGGAGATGGCCAACCTGCTCAACCTGTCCGAGCGCCAGATCAAGATCTGGTTCCAGAACCGGCGCATGAAGTACAAGAAGGACCAGAAGTCCAAGGGCCTGAGCTCCAGTTCCGGGGGGCCCTCGCCAACCGGCTCCCCGCCCCTGACCATGCAGTCCTCCGCCAGCTTCCTCAACTCCATGCACCCCATGGTAGGGGGAGGCGGGGTCGGCTACGACGTCCCGTCTCCGCCGTCCTTCAGCAAACCCCACCAGGGAGTGTCTTACTCCATGTCCACTGCCTACTCCAACGTCCCCATGAAGGGCTGTCCCCCCCCAACAGAAGTACGGCGCCCCGGACTACGGCGACCCCCATCCTCACCATGGCCTAGTGCAGGCCAACAATGCTGGCTACGGGACTCCCACCAACATGCAGGCCAGTCCAGTCTACGTGGGGGGTGGCAGCTACGTGGAACCCATGCCCGGCTCGGGGCCCTCCATGTACGGGCTAAACCACCTCGGCCCCACACCACCTCACCACCAAACCATGGACTACAACAGCGCGGGGCCCATGTCGGCCGCCAACCAGCACCACGTGGGCGGAGGGGGCCCCCCGGGTCCCTGCGACCCGCCCACGCACCCGACGTACACCGAGCTGTCGGCTCACCACACCTCGACTCAGGGCAGAATCCAGGAAGCACCCAAGCTCACTCACCTGTAGCAGGTTTGGAACAAAAACCGAAAACGTAGGAAGTAGTGAAGACAACACACAGAACGCGTGACACGACGCGACTCACTAACAGACAAACTAACATGCGGGGACTCTACTGCTGCAACGGGATGGCAGGAGAGACAAAGGGAGACAGACAGGGGCCGTCCAGTGGTTGGTCCTTTGCTCTACAGAGTTGTGTTGTCCAGCCACCTTGTTTCCACTGCCTTCTGAATAGGGCTAAGCCTTCACTGTTCTCTTTAAAGTGCAGCTAATTTGATTTAAAAAACACAATGGTTGTGCATATTATTAAGTAGCATGAACACAAACCATTTATGTTGCTCAAAAACCTAAACAAAAGGCACTCCGCAGTGTAACGGTACTGAAGTCAACGGTAGTTGCCAAACATTTCCAAGTATTTTTTTAAAAACCGGGACCAAATTTACTATTTTACATCCTCGTACAAGGAAATTATTTCTTTTACACGAGCCTTTTTAGAGCAATTTACACTCTTGAGCGTCCCAGGTGCAGCGAAGCATATTGTAGGCGCGGGAGAAGAAGTGTACAGTCAATTGTCTCCCACGTCCCCCCCTGGGGACAATAAATGTCAGGAAGCTGATCTGGCGGCACCGGTGCAGAGACATATCGGCAGCTGTACGGCACAACGGGATCTGAAGGCGAGCCCCGTGGTTCAGTCTGATAATCCACTGCGCTGTCAATCTGAAAACTACAATGTGGACTATTTCAGTTCTTGTGTTACAGAATATCTCAGAAACAGAAAAACAAACACAAATGGCAGTGCATTCTCTTTGCATAATGTGTTTAAGTTACACAGCAAAATAAATGCAAAGCGTTTTTTGTGTGTGTGTGTGTGTGTGTGGAGCACACTGCAGCTGTAGCTCAGCTAGCATGTTTGGTGGAGCTATAGTATGTTGTTTAAAACTGTAAGTTGGTGATATATTCCCCGCACACACACACACACACACACAACAAGCAGCTCTCCCGCCTGGTGAATGAAATAGTTGAGATTTGAATGGGCGGTTTAACGAGGTGGTCAGATTTATGACGCTGAGCTCATGGCAGCACGGGTTGTTGTCAGCCGGGCCGAGCTACGTGGTGAGCAGCACATGTGTACAACAGAAATGTACGAGGTTCCACGAGTCACATTACAAACACACTGGATGGTCCTCCCCTTCCGCTGTCTCCTCCCGCCTCCTGCCGGACCGAATCACTACTAACCCACCGGCTCCTGTCTGTGGCAGCAGCACATGGCTTCTGAAGGAGGCCAAAACATGTTCCCACAGTCCGCCACAGACCCCCCCTCCACACACACACACACACACACACACACACACATCCATCAACCACATGTGCACCCACCGCTACCCTCCCATCAATCTAAACAGGGTTTAAGAAGCTACGAGCTCAAAGGCTAAGCTAGCTCCCATGTAGACGCACATCTGCGCTAAGCGAAGCTCGCGCCTCCACACGCACACACACGCACAGCAATGCTAAGCTAGCTTCCGTTCGTTGACATACATCCACAGCCAGGTGAGCAGCTGTTGACATCTTTACACAAACACAGGAGAGGACATGGAAGAGACATTTTAATGTTCTTGTTTTAGCACGTCATCGACACAGGGTAAATAATAAGAGTGGAGAACACTATTTATTTATGTTTGGGTAAGTTATTGCCCTTCTACCCCCCCTCTCTCTCTCTCTCTCGCTCACTCTCCCCCCCTCTCTCTTATCACTTTGGAAGGTTTCTCTTTGGCTACATTAGCGAACACCAATGCAGAATTTGTCCACCTTCTATATCGTTTTGTTTTGTTCTCACATATCTTGACTTTTAACGTGGATACAGGGTATATATTTGAACAAAAATGCATGTCCCAGATATGTGAGCTGATGTGTGTCACACTTTGTTTTATTAAAAACAACCGGGTTTATTTGTTTGAACGGTCTCTGCTGTTCTGGAAATAAACCTCCCGTATTGTTTTTGTTTTTTTAAAGTGCAGATCTACACAAAAGCTTTTCGAATCCGGGCATCATTGTTGCACTTAGAGTTTACATTTTGATGGTTAAAGGTAAAAAAAATAATAATGATGAAATCTTATTTTGAAGACGGAAGGCCCTCCAATCAAAGCGTCTTTCGCCAATGTGTGTTCAAGTGAACATTCATATATAAATATTTATTTGTTATAGCCAGTTTAAAAAAAATACTTTCTGTTTTGTATTATTATTATTTATCCTTCATGTATTTATATCGAGAAAAAATACTGTACTTTTTTAGTATTTACCTGTTATGAAAGGGAAAAAAAACGTTGTGTTTCTTCTTGTCCATTGTACTGAAGTTACATTTTATTTTTTAGTTCTTGTATTTTAGAAGAATACGTAGTTTTTATGTTCCTATAATGACCCTTGTACATACATGTCTTGGCTTGTACAGGGAAACAGGCAAGGATGGGGATCGGTGACCCGTCCGCGCATAGTCGGAAACATTTAGACAAACTACTAGCTGGAAAAAAAGGACGAGTCTTTCTTTTTTTGGGGAGAAAAACAACTTCTTTCTTTGTCCTTTGTAGCTCCTTTTTTTCTTTCATTGTTGAGAGGGTTGTCTGTCGAACAATTCTTTAATAAAATGTTATGTTATTCACAGATATCTTCGGTTTGTTAATGATTCTCAGGTGCTTTCACTTATTCAAACATTATCGTCCGTATCAGCAGTGTTGCTGCAGGTAAAAACCTGTCGCGGCCAGTTGTGTTGACTGTCATGTCTTTGGACTGCGGTTACCTGCCAACGGTGACAAAACAACTATGAAAATAAGCTCAACTTTTAAAGTAAAGTATGTTTTTGTTGATTATCAGCTTTGGCAAAATGTCAACCTAATGTCCCTTTAAAATCAGCTGACCTCAAGGATAGAACCCAAAAAGCAACATGAAAAACCACTTTCTCAAAGTATAACGTAAAGCTGCAGGACAAATGACTGTTTATCTCCCACAATCCTTTGCTTTAAAGCTGCTGTGTGCTGGTCGGCGCCCCGGCGTGGGGATCATGCGCGTTCTACCGCAATGTGATGTGACTGTCGAGGATCTGGTGTAGGTGTGACTTCTTTCCAACAAGCGGGGCTGACGTGACACTGACGGGTCAGCATTGGATATCGGGTCGATACCTCGGGGCTAAAGCATGGCATCGCTGTCAGAAAACCCTCCCAATAATTACTTGTGAAGCCGAGAGCGACGTTAACATGTCAGAAGTAAAGAACAAATCTTTCGGGAAACTTCAAATCCGCTGTTAGTCTCTTTTGAGGCTTTAGAAAGAAGGCAAAGCGGCTGCAAGCTGTTCCAGTGGCATGCTACTCTGCTACTATTCCATTCCGCTGGCTGGTGTTCATTTACCGTACTGATTACCAGCAACGATCCACACATGCCGATGTGTGTCAGACACCGGGCTTCATCCCGGTGAAGGTCTAAGGTCAGATCCAAGAACTGTTCCTGAACTAGAACCTGATACTTGTTGCTGCTTGTTCTTTTTTCTAGAGTCAGCTCTCTGAGAAGGAAACATTGACTTTAGCTCTGTTATTTTTGTCTGACAGCAACGTCTGTGTTCAGTACCAGTAAAAGCTCTCAGTATTGCACAGCATCTCGAGGATTATATTTGATTGACCCAGATGCTGGAGAAAACATTTAAGACTCAATTTCATGATTTAAAATAGAGTTGTTTTCATGTTGAGTTAATCCGTTCTGTTGGAGCGGCAAAGTGGCAGCAAGGCAACTCTGATCAACCCCCAAACACGCAAACGCTTGCTGCTGAGGTGTCCTTGAGCAAGACGCTAACGCCCCATCTGACCTCTCAACCTGGACGCTTCACACCAGAACGATCTGTTCCTCTGCACGACGGGTGCTCACTTTAAATCCAGAGGTAGAACATAAGTGCTGTGACTTAAAATGGTGAGCGAGACCATGTGGTGTGGTTGAAAGCTCTGGTGGAGCCTTCTTTTCCTTCTTTAAGTTAACCTCTGTGAGAAAGCAGCAGATGGTTGGAGTTATTTAAATGTATGGTCTTTTCTACTGTCTAACTAACCCTCCTGTTTGATCATTTATTATTTGTTTGACTATTTATTTGACTTTCTTTTAATAATTGACTGCTGAGTGTTAACTTTCTGGATTGACTTAATTTACTTTTGCTCTTGCTGAGAATGTTCATTTTCCCTCTTGGGGTCAGAATAGTTTGACCCTTTTCAACAGATAGGCGACCCAAGACACATTTCTTCTTAAAGGGACAGTTCCCCACCAAAAATCAAAAACACATACTCTTACTTTTACCTGTGGTGCTATTCATGAATAGTTGTGAGTGGGCTACTTTTTCGGAGACATCGGCCACAACAGACCTCGTGGTCACAACAACAGAGGTTGCTGTTGAGTTTTGTGTGATAGTCCCATTACATTGGAGAGAAGACAGACTTATTCTACGGAAGATATCTCCAAAACTAGACAACTCACACCAAAACTATCTAAAATATGGATTTTGGAGTGAACTGCCCCTTTAATGTTTTCTCTCTTTTCAACTTTATTTTTCCCTTGTTGTGTCTTTCTTTTCACATGCATGCTGATCCAATGTGTCCTGTGATGTTGTTTATGACTAAAAAAAAGCCCTGAGGCCTGCGCCTTGGCTCAGTCACATGGTCTCTACCCCCCCCCCCCCCTCTCCCTCACTCTCGCACGCGCTTGTGCTGAGAGGCCTGAGAGCAGCATAAAACTTGGGACATAAATCAGGCTCCCGTAAATAATGGCTGCACTTCCCTTTACATCTCCGTTGGACTAACAGACAATAAAAACACCAATAAGCAGAGATTGGATCTAATTTATTGCCTCATAAAAACAGGAGGAGGGCTCGGCTTCAGAGCAACGCAGCCTCTGCTGAAAACAGTACAGCTATTACTGTGGAACACGCTCACAGCCAGGTACGCGCACTGCTCTGGAGTCAGACATTACAATTGCATTAATAAGGTGACGATGTTTAGGCAGGGAATTTGTCAGAAAAAGTTGTCTGTCAGACGAGAACAGATGTCTTTATTTTATCATGCAGATAATAACACCAATAGTTATAATAAATAAAAGCAGCCTATAGAAAAATCCTGGTCATTTAGATTTTGTTTTACTTTACTTTGGTGAATTTAAAATCTCAACTATCAATATTAAGCGGACTAATTATATGTTAAATTATATCAAATCAAAACGTGGGTATTGGTGTGGTAATAATAGTTGTTTTACACTGAGTAACCCTAAAACAAGAGAATTAACTGCCAAATAAAATAAAAGTCACAAATCTTTCAGTCGGCCAATCCACGCGTCCCGTGTGATAACTAGCATGAAAAAACTGCCTCTGTTCGCCAACAAAACTTCCAACAAAGTCGTCGGTATTTTCCAATAAAATACATTTTTTTTAAATGAATATATATAATTTTCAAAATTAGCGTAAAAACGAGATGAAGAACAGACACCGAGCGGGCCGCAGTACATTGTGATGCTGGAGCTCAGGCAGCAGCTTGTGTCTGCTGTGTTCACGCAGCCTGCGCTTATTCTGCTGCGTTCAATGGCCCTCACTCCCACGCGCATTTCTGCCTTTTTCCCCTTCTGCCGTCTCTTTCACAGTCAGGCGGGAAGAAGCCAAATGGCATGGGAACGAGAGGCCGAGCTAAACAGCATTTTCTCCATTTGTATCTGATTGGTTTTATTATTTGTATTTATTTTTTTATTTTTTGTTCTCTCAACCGATAAAATATAGCCGCGTGACGTATACATATGAGCGCATTTGCCGCGCGTACAATCTGTGCGAAAAGTAAAATAAATAAATAAATAATAACACACAGTGAGTAATGGATCTAAAGGGGGGGGGGGCGGAGGGCTGCTTGTTATTTAGGGAGAGAAGAGGGGCTGCTGTCAGCCTCTTTGCAGGGAGTGAAAGATTGATCACCGCACATTTTCTCCACACTCGGGGCTCCTCGAGCCCTCCCCAAAAACTCCTCCCGAGTTCCTGATCTTTATGAGGAAAAAAAAAAGAAAAAATAATAAAAATCTACATGTGCGTCCTGTTGAGCCTGAAGGCCACTCAGCACACTCTCACTTTCTATTAGCTTTCGTATTATTGCTGCTGTATTATTAGTATTTTCTTTTACTACAGGAGACCCGCGCTCTCCCCTCCTTTTTTTCTAGCTGCACGGAGCGACCTCGCTGTGAACTCTCTCACACTCTCTCTCTCTCTCTCTCTCTCTCTCTCTCTCTCTCTCTCTCTCTCTGCGTAAACACACCGGACATTTTTAACACACATACATTACACTGGAGAGAGAGAGAGAGAGAGAGAGAGAGAGAGAGAGAGAGAGAGAGAGAGAGAGAGAGAGAGAGAGGGGGGAGGCTATTTTAGTGGCATTATATTTAGACAACATTTTAGGGTTCCATCTCTCTCACGCGCGCTCCTGCAACTATTAAAAACAAAACATGATCCAATGATTAAAACAAAAATAAAGTACACTTACACACCAACAGGCTTCTCTTCCCCGTTAACTCTAACTGTCTCTCTGCTCTGACAAGCCGGTCTGCCTCATCCCCACTGAGTAGAACCTTCATCATCCTCTCCTCCTGAGCTGCTGCGCCATCTAAAACCCTCTCCAAGTATTTTTTTTTTGTCCTGTGTCTAAGTTGGGGATTTTCAGCCTCTGTCACACTTTATAAGATTAATGAGCTGAGTGTTGTAAACAGCACTCAGCTGAGGAGCCATATTGTAAACGGTGCCGGCCAGCTCCGTCCACCCTAACCGTCATAGCATCACCCAGAGGACCAAAAAAAAAAGATGTCCGAGAGATGCTCTATTGTTTGTGCGTGTGTAACACCGGGTCCATAGGATGCGCCGAACCCGCCGCCCACATGGCGCACATGGCGAGCGGCCGCCTGGTCGTCTCTCCTCCGCCCCGCACGTTACCCCCCGTTAAGACGAAACAATAGCAGCCATCCTGTGATGCAGCCCTGCGTTGCCACAGCATTTGGTGGAAAAAAATAATAATGCTGCTTCCCACTGCCATCGCCATCGCCGCCAGGGCCTGGACCCCCCCCAACACCCCGATTGGCTGTTTCGCGTCACATGATCAGGAATTGGCTGCAATTTCGCCCCATAGTTCTTCAGTTTAGCCTACCCATGGTCCCCATACGCGAGTAATATCACCAATATACACAATTATTATATAGCCGCCGCGTTTACGCCATTGCGGTCGGGAGCCTACATGCTTGTGCGTTTTTTCCTTTTTTTTCCCCCGAAAGAAGCCATATTGTTTTGAGTGCGTGCGCGAGCGCGCGCGTTTATGTGTTTTTTTTTTGTTTTGTTTTTTTATTTTGGGGAAGGGATTGTTTCGGGGGTCTCGCCGTTCTGAGGTCGAAGCCGGTTCGAGGGAGCTATGAATTTTGAATTTGAGAGGGAGATCGGTTTTATCAACAGCCAGCCGTCCCTAGCAGAGTGCCTGACGTCCTTCCCAGCCGTCCTGGAGTCATTTCAAACTTCATCAATCAAGGAGTCGACAGTAATTCCGCCTCCCTTCGAGCACACCATCCCCAGCCTCAGCCCCTGCACAGCCAGCCATCCGAGACCGGCTGCTAGGAGCCAGCAGAACCGGAGGACCTCCGTCGCCAATGGCCTCCAGACGAACCACCGGGGCGCCCAGCAGCCCTTCCCGCCCGGCCAGACCCCTGCCCTGGCCGTGGCCGCCCCGGCCGGCCCGCTGGCCCACGAGTTCCCCTGGATGAAGGAGAAGAAGTCCTCAAAGAAGTGCCCGAAGCCTGGGAGCGGCTCCAGCGGCGGCGGATCCATCATCCCCCTTGGCTCGTCCTCCCCGTCGCCGACCGCCTCCGGGTACGCTTCGGCGGGCATCGAGTCACCCACAGGTCGGTATGCTGGGAAGCTGGAGCCAGTATGTGTGCGCGTGTGTGGTGGGAGCGTGAAGGGTGTGCAGCATAGTGCTTTCATTTTCGGTCTGCATCTTCATTTCACTTCATAAACATCATTCATTACACACAGCATGGATTTGAGATGCCGTTTTCTTCCTCAGTGTGTGTGTTGTGTGGTGCTGTAATGCTGTGTCAACAGGGTGGCCATATCTAGACCACTGCATTATGCTGCAGTGCTTTGCACTCTCCCATCACGCATGTAAACGTGCACCCATAACGTATATCTCTGTCACATCATTTATGTGGAATTCAGCTTCACGCTGAGCGCACGTGCCTCTCACACCAGCTTCCGTTTTATTCTGCATCAGAGCACAAATTTGCAAAATGCATATTGTCCACATAGAGTTAATAATCGTGCGTAAAGACGCACAGAGGTGGGTATTTCCCCCCTCTCTATCCACCCTGCAAAGGATTCGTGCTGCAGCCTGATTCATTCTGCTCACTGGCTGCTGTGATTTCAGCAGCAGCGTCTGCCCTGGCATTATATATTCATAACACAACTGAGATGGTAGCCATATTGGATGGCGGTGTAGGAAATACAATGGCGAGGCAGTGGACAAAATATGTTTGGTGGGGGCTGCAGGTGTGTGTGTGTGTGTGGG